CCAGCGTCCCAATGTCTCAGTGTGTCCCCATGTCACTAGGATACTGGGGACACTGAGAGACCCGGGGACACTGAGAGAAATGGGGACACTGAGACACTAGGGACACAGACACTGGGAGACTAGGGGACACTGGGAGACTAGGGGATACTGGGAGACTAGGGGACACTGGCTTGGAGACAGACACTTGGGGAGACATGGGGACAGTTGTGGACATAGACATGGGGACACTGGGACACATGGGGATACTAGGTACACTGAGAGACATGGGACACAGACACTGGGAGACTTGGGGACACTGAGACACTAGGGACACTGGCTGGGGGACATAGTGTCTCCGTGTCCCAATGTCTCCCAATGTCCCTATGTCTCACAGCATCCCCATGTGTCCCCTAGTGTATGTGTCATCATGTGTTCCCTAGTGTCTGTGTCCCCTAGTGTCTCAGTGTCCCCATATGTCACCTAGTGTCTCAGTGTCCCCATGTGTCTGTGTCCCCATGTGTCCCTGCTGCCTTCCCCCCTATCCCTCACTTACCTGAGCTGTAGAGCTGCTGTCTGGACTCTCTGTGCTGTGTAGCTGCTCCCCCACGGATCAGTGAGTAGTAGAGAGAGGCAGGGATATTCTGTAACTTCCTATCCCGGCCTCTCTCCACACACAGTGACCCCTACTGGCCGGTTCTGGTATTGCAGAGTAATTTCCATTTATTCTGAGAAAATTACCTGCATTTGTATTGCTGGTATTACTGCAATACTGGCAGGGCCAGGCAGCCTCAAATACCGTCTGTGCCATTAAAATACCAGTCAGGTGGCAAACCTAAGAGTAGTGTGTAAAAAAAAAAAAAAAAAAATTTTTTTTTTTTTTTTTTTTAAATGGGCCTATTCCATGGGCCTGGGCCTGGAGCTGCAGCTCCATCAGCCCCTATGTTAATCCGGCCCTGGCCATGGCTTTGTAGCGTGTCTCCACCTCTATTCTGCTTATCCATTCTTAACATTTGACAGTCAGGAGTCTGGGAGATGAATCCATGAAATACAGCCCCTAAGGCAACAGACATCACAGAGAGAGAGCGGGAATCACAATAATTACAATTACTTATATAGCAGCATCATATTCCAGAGCGTTGTACAATGGGAAATAAGACAAACACTTGATTCAAACAAAGCACATGACATGCGGCAACAGTGGATGAAGAGGGACCTGCCCAAACGAGCTGTGATCTACCAGGCCCCTAAATGAGCAGTTTGTGAATTTAGGGGCCTGGTAGATCACAGGCTTAAAAGAAAAAAAATAACTGTGAATTCTCTACATTGATTTTTCAACCCTTTGAGGTTAACACTAAAACAGCCATCGTCCACTACCACTCCTATCATGCTAATAGTCTAGATCAGTGGTCTTCAACCACTGGTCCGCTGACCGGCGCCGGTCCGCAAGAATTTATTGCAGTTCTGCGAAAGCTTTCACACGGACCGGCAATAAATTACCTTATGATCATAGCACCGGGAACCATGCCTCCCTCTCCTCTGTTGGCTCTGCAGGACTGAAGGGGAGATCAGAGATCCCCTCTGTGGCCCGCTAGCAGTGTAATGCTGGCAGCCAGCAGGGGAGGGTGGGAGAGAGGACCCGGCGAGCTGTAACCTGCAGCTTTGCCGGGTTCTCCTCTTGCTAGAGTTCCCTCTCACCACTAGGACCACCTAGACAAAGTATGCAGGGAGGGGGGATATCAAAATTACTATTTTTTAAAAAATTTTATAAAAAATACACATTTATTAATCTACCCTCCAACCCCACAATCATTCTCCCCTATACACACACACTGCCCCCATACACACACACTGCCCCTATACACACACACTGCCCCTATACACACACTGCCCCCATACACACACACACTGCCCCCTATGTACACACTGCACCTATACACACACACTGCACCTATACACACACCCTGCCCCCCATACACACACACACACACACTGCCCCTAATACACACACACTGTCCCCACACACACTATACACACACACTGCCCCCCCCCATACACACACACTGCACCCCTCACACACACCCACACACAAATTGCATCCCTCACACACACACACACACACACAACATCCCTCACACACACACAGCACCCCTCACACATACCATTGGTTTTTATTTCTGGCTGATGCCGGTCAGCAAAATATTTCTTCTCTTTTCGCCAGGCCTCGGGTGCTAAAAGGTTGCAGAACACTGGTCTAGATTACTATGTTGAGATTTATATGTTATTTTAGTTGTCCAGTAGGAGAGAGATTATCTGACCCATCCTCTCTTCAATCCCATCATGCTCAACCAATGTTGGGGTGATTCAGTACACAGAGCTTTTTTATAATTAGGAAGATTTAATCTCTTGTGTACTTGCCCTTACTTACCTCTAGTACACTCTCTTTTCCATTATCCCTCTATTGTTTGCCTCTCTTTCAATTCTTCACACATTTCCTCCTCCTGTTCCTTTCATCGACTATTCCCATCTCCTAATTCCGCTCCCTCCATGCCCACATCCCTGTTCCACTCCCTCCATGCCCACAATACATCAGTGTTTTGCACCCTCTATGCCCATATCCCTGTTCCACTCCCTCCATGCCCACAACCCTGGTCCACTCCCTCCATGCCTACAACCCTGTTCCACACCCTCAATGCCCACATTGTTGTTCTACACCCTCTATGCCCATATCCCTGTTCCACTCCCTCCATGTCCACAACCCTGGTCCACTCCCTCCATGCCTACAACCCTGTTCCACTCCCTCCATGCCCACATCATTGTTCCGCACCCTCTATGCCCATATCCCTGTTTCCCTTCCTCCATGCCCACAACACTGTTCCACACCCTCTATGCACATATCCCTGTTCCACTCCCTTCATGCCCACATCCGTGTTCCACTCCCTCCATGCCCACAACCATGTTCCACTCCCTAAATGCCCACATCGTTGTTCCACTCCCTCCATTCCCACAACCCTGTTCCACTCTCTCCATGCCCACATCCCTGTTCCACACCCTCTATACCCATATCCCTGTTCCACTCCCTACATGCCCATATCCCTGTTCCACTCCCTCCATGCCCACATCCCTGTTCCACTCCCTACATGCCCATTTCCCTGTTCCACCCCCTCCATGCCCACAACACTGTTCCACACCCTCTATGCACATATCCCTGTTCCACTCCCTTCATTCCCACATCCGTGTTCCACTCCCTCCATGCCCACAACCCTGTTCCACTCCCTAAATGCCCACATCGTTGTTCCACTCCCTCCATTCCCACAACCCTGTTCCACTCTCTCCATGCCCACATCCCTGTCCCACACCCTCTATACCCATATCCCTGTTCCACTCCCTACATGCCCACATCCCTGTTCCACTCCCTACATGCCCATTTCCCTGTTCCACCCCCTCCATGCCCACAACCCTGTCCCAGTCCCTCCATGCCCATATCCCTGTTCCACTCCCTCTATGCCCACATCCCTGTTCCACTCCCTCCATGCCCACAACCCTGCCCCACTCCCTCCATGCCCACAACCCTGCCCCAGTCCCTCCATGCCCACATCCCTGTTTCACTTCCTCCATGCCCACATCGTTGTTCCACACCCTCCATGCCTACAGCCCTGTTCCACTCCCTCCATGCCCACATCATTGTTCCACCCCCTTTATGCCTATATCCCTTTTTCACTTCCCCCATGCCCACATTGTTGTTCCAAACCCGCCATGCCCACAATAATGTTCCACACCCTCTATACCCATATCCCTGTTCCACTCCCTCCATGCCCACAACCCTGTTTCACTTCCTCCATGCCCACTACACTGTTCCACACCCTCTATACTCATATCCCTGTTCCACTCCCTCCATGCCCACAATCCTGTTCCACTCCCTCCATGCCCATATCCCTATTCCACTCCTTCCATGCCCACAACCCTGTCCCACTCCCTCCATGCCCACATCCCCGTTCCACTCCCTCCATGCCCATATCCCTGATCCACTCCCGCCATGCCCACATCCCTGTTTCACTCCCGCCATGCCCACATCCGTTTCACTCCCTCCATGCCCATATCCCTGTTCCACTCCCTCCATGCCCACAACCCTGTCCCAGTCCCTCCATGCCCACATCCCTGTTCCACTCCCTCCATGCCCACAACCCTGTCCCAGTCCCTCCATGCCCATATCCCTGTTCCACTCCCTCTATGCCCACAACCCTATCCCACTCCCTCCATGCCCACAACCCTGCTCCAGTCCCTCCATGCCCACAACCCTGTCCCAGTCCCTCTATGCCCACATCCCTGTTCAGTTCCTCACCGTGCCCACCCATCCTTGGTCCACCCCCTCCATGCCCACCATAATATTCCATTCCTCCTAACTCCACCTCTCTGGTTCGTTACTCTCCTACACCCATTCCCCTCCATGTCCATTTCTCTATTCCATTCCTCCTCATACTATCCTACTGGTCCAATGCTCTCCTATAAGCCTCTTCCTTTTCAATTATATTTTTTATTTTTTTAATCTTTTGAGATTCTCTTTTTATTTTAGGGGAGGGAAGTTCGACAGAGCCACTTAAAGCCAAACTGAATGGAAACCATATTTAGAGAATATTTCCAGTTCATTTATTTTGACCTTAAATTTTAAGCCTGAATAGAGAGATTGGAAACATTTTCCAACTCCACTATCTTTCTACCTCAGGTATTTTCAAAATTTCACCTAAACTTTACAATTCACTTGTGAGTTCACATGGGATGTAATTGATTGTCTTAATGACACTGTGTGGAATAAAGATGGTTTAAAAAAAAAAAAAAAAAAAAGCAGCGTCCTTGCGTAAAATGCAGTCGCCCCTGTAAATATCGAGCGCTAAACACCACAGATGCGATAAGTGTCTTCTAATCAGCGAGTGCATCTACATGACCGAGAAACCATGTTTGTGGAGACCAAGCGCTGCCTATCTACAGAATTGGCTACAACAAAATGTCTTCTTAAAGAAGACCTGGCCAAATCCTGGTGTTTAGATCTCTACGCACAGTCAGCGTGCGCGACATGGGTGCTTCCATGCTTGTATAGGGCAACAGGGTTCAGTTGATGAAGGACGTATCATGGTGTTTCTCAGTTTGTCCCGGTGGGTTCGCAGTCGGGGTCCTGATCGGTACTGGAAGGTGCAGGAATTGCTGAAACATGCCCGGGTATGCCCATTTATTCCAGGGTGTGGGGCAAGCTAACCATGTGCCATGTCTCAGTGTAATATGGTATCCCAGGATGGCACAGGGACTGTCATGGGCACAATGTGTAATAAAACAAATATATTTATATTAAACACACACATATGTCAATCTATATTATTGCTAAACATGCTTATAGAACTGTGACTTGTGTGTAACAGGAAGCACTTCACAAAAATGCCATGGTATTGATAACAGACCAATAAATAATATGAATTAGAATTGGGTCTAGAAATTGGAAATCTGCCTTGCCTTTGCATTTACTCTAGAGATGCCTGCATATTCATTCTCTTTATACACAATTAAATGCAGAAGAGGCTTGCGCATAAAAATGGCAGTGTTGTATCAGGTGTTATTAGGTTAATTTAAGTGTTGCACTTGCCACAAATTACTGTAGCAGTATTGTTTCTGGCTTTATATGTATGTGTATATATCTATCCCCTTAAGGACACATGACGGAAATATTCCATCATGATTCCCTTTTATTTCTGAAGGTGTGTCCTTAAGGAGATATATATGGTGGGGGATATATATTAACCAATACTTTTTTTTCTAAACCTAACATTCTCCTCATGTCCTCTTTTTTGTTTTTTTTGTTTCCAGTAGGATAGTAGTGGTTGTCATATCAGTAGTGGCCTAGCAAACCACTTCCCTTCCCATTATAATTAGTCAAACCATTTTTTAACTGTTTGACTTCTTACCAGAGGTCCACTGGGCACAATGACCCACCTCCACTACTAACGCTGAAGAACCAGCTTCCAGCTCTCAAAAGTAGAGGGACGTGGAGCCCAGTCAACTCCTGGCAAGATGTCAGACTTTTCAAAACAATGGTGGGGTATTACTATTTTTATATATATTTATTCGCACACAAAAGCCTCCACAAATGACCGTGCCTCTTTACATTTTTCCTCCTCTAGGGACATGCTAATTTAATTGTATCAAACTCACAAGTACACATGATATAAAGGGATCTGGATCCAGGACTAGGAACAAATGAGTGTAATGCAAATTAGCTCTGTTCATGTTAAACATACCTTAATGTCACTTATTAAGATTGAAGCCATCAATCTCTTAAGCCTCTACAATAAATAAATGATAGCACAAAGAGCTATAAGATTTCAGTCTCTTTAAAGAAGTGCTCCACCCAATCAAAGTATTAAAAACATTATGTTTAATGTATGTGTTTATTTTTAGCATTTCCGTGGAAGGAAGAACCGGTGCTATAGCCTAGCTGTGCGAGCTGTTCGTAGAGCTTTCGTTTATTCAACAAAGGCCAGGAAGGCTAAGAAACACATTATGAGATCGGTAATGTATACATCCATTTATTGTCTATTATTGTACTTTTTCAAAAATGTATTTATTTTACAAACCTGTCACTTTAAATTTGAAACAACTCTTTTTGTCTTTGCTATGTGAGCAGTGGGTTAACATTAGCCAGTTTTTTTTCATTTACTTTTTTGCTTATCCAATCCCCCATTTTCCTTTCTAATCGGATGCAATTGTTCGGCCATTTATCTGCAATTTATCCTTTTCTGTGAAATGCGTAAGATTTTTGTCTGCCGCTGCTTGGAAATTGCGTGTGTTTCTTTTTCTACTGCTAAAAAAAAAAATTTGTTTCAAGGACTAAAATTATTATGGGGCCTTTTTTTTATAATAATTATTAGTGAGTGTATATTTGTTTACTAACCGGTTTAAGCATTACTTAATTTCCTGGTGCACTCGCCCTATATTAATGCCTATTTATAACCTTCACATAATTGTGCCCCGAGCAAGTCTTCTTTTTTCTATAAATATTTTATCAAATAATGTCAGGACATGCCTTTTCAGAAAGAGTTTTGGATGAATCACATAACTGTGCTGCTCAAAACATTTGGTATGTTCCACTGTCTATCTACATGTCATGACATAAATATACTAAAAACACAATGTCCCAGCTCCCTTCCCTATACACAGTGCCCTTTAACTATTTCCCACCCGTGTCTTTGTGACCATTCTCTCTTCTACCTACCTATCTGTCGCCTGAATGCTCCCATCGCCCTGCTTGGATCTCACACTGCTACATTGTCTGGTTCCATGATAATGGATAATGCTTGCCCGAGTGCAAGACAGGATCCTGCAATTGTCCTGAGATGATGTGATCAAGGTCATGTAGCATCCTCACTCTGTGTCACCTTGCTTTTGTCAGAGCAGAATAACAGGTTGTCTGCCCTGGTGTCAGATTTATCACGTTTCTAAATTGCAGCAACACTGGTGGAAAAATGTTATGGCACCCAATAGAGAAGAATGTGTACGTGGCTTTTTATACTGCTCACATTTTTACCTCCGTGAGTCAGAAATACATTTCTCCCAAACCTGGCCAATAGAAAAATCTAAATATTTTAAATAAAACCTTTTAACAGTCTTGCTGCAAGCCAGGGCACACTCTATAGAAGGACAGAAATGCTTGAATGGCAAACAATTAAAATAAGAGGGGTTTGAGCTATGGATATGTCTAATCTGCCCATTAAAGGGACACTCCACTGCCCAAATAGAAAATAAATATAAATCACTGTTTAGCAGATACAGCCCAAATTAAAATGTCCATGTATTTAGTTATGGGTTTGTTTTTGTTTTTTTATTTATTGGGGTTATATCTAAAAACAGCTGCAGATATTTCTTGTTGAAAGGCTGTGCAAGCCCTCCTCTTCTAACCCACCCTGACTTTCTCTGGTTGTCCAATCACAGACTGCCCAATGTTGTTTTAATGAGAAAGCTTTGCAAAGCAGGTGCTCTGAGCAATTGCTGCCTCTTGAGTTTAGCTCCATTGAGCTAACCTAACCATGAAGTAACAGGACCTGTTGTCAATATCTATTAAAATCTGCACTTTTGTAAAAAAAAAAAAAAAAAAATGGGACACGCTTCATACACAAAGCATTTCAACAAACTAACATGCTTTAGGGGTCTGTGGAGTCCCTTTAAGGGGTCTAACTCCCTTAGTTTGTGTCTGCCCCATCCACAACCACAGTAGATGGTGGATCAGGCAGTATTAAATTTAAAAAAAAAACTATAAGGGCAATTCAAAGGGTAAGGCTGCTCTTCTGCAGACATCTATAACAACAACAACGTATTTAACCAGGAAAGGTACATTCAGATTACTCTGGTTTTCAAGTATGCCCTGGGGATGCTACATTAGCCCAACATCCAGGGGTTGTTATGATCCCTCTCTTTGGTTGAAAATTTAACTTTAAAAAAAGAATAAATCTGATTGTGTTCTAAACATCTCATGAATATATTATCGGTCATTAGTGTCATGAAAATTAAGTTTAAAAAAATTACACAAGCCGCACATAGGGCTTTGGCAGATGAGTCTAAATGTATTTATACACCAACCTCGTATGCTTTTATCCATAACATTAGAGACTCAGATTGGATAGACAAACTGACCGCCAAAGTCTAAGGCACACTCGGGTCCTACCCCAAGCAAGGCCTAAAGGTCCATGGCTGGAAAGTCAGTGTCCTAATGTTGCAGTGTAAGCATGCAGAAGCCAAACACAGAAATATTGGACACAGGTCTTCAGGAAGTAACAGGCCTTTATTCACATTACCGATCGGGTCTCAGATGAACTCCTGTTCCAACATTCTGAGAGACCAACACATAGTGTACATTCCTTATATAGCACTATAACTCCTCCCATTAATAGCTACACCCACATATACCTTTAACCAATCAATGAGCAGAATATAGACTTGTACATCTAGTCAAACCACATGGCTCATCCAAGACAAAGGAAATAAGTGCAATTTCAGTTCCTGCATTCCTGCACATGCTCAGTACACTGATGACAGTATCCTAGCTACATGTAGCTAACCAACTGACACAACATACACATATGCCACATGGAGATTTTGGCCTACTAAATTTTAACCATGCTGGAATCCCATCACATTCCCCCCTTTGATGCCTCTGATATAACATTATTCCAGATGCATCACCAATCACAGTTTTACCTACATCTCTCAAGTAGCCATTGAACCAGAGTAGACCTTGTAAGCATCTTAAAAACGCCTTCAACATTCTTCATCCTGAATATATTCTCTTCGGGCTAGGGGATCAAATCTTCCAGACAGCCATTACATGGGCAGCTGTCTTTCTCTCTCTAGTACTCTCTATAATACTATGTAGGGACCTTACCACTAGTGGAATTAGACAGGGCAGGAGGAGGCACAAAAAAATATAATAAATTCTACTCCTCCTACTAATGTCTTAATTCCTCCAAGCTGCTCATACCAACTTCCAAACCAACTACTTAGGTTATACCCATTCCAGACCTGAGTAGGTACATGCTCAAATTTAATCATGTGGCTTGTAAGTTCAGCCACTGCCTACCCTTCATCATCTATGTGCAGACAACAGTTACTTAGATTAAACTTTCCGCATACACCTCCTTCTACTGCTAGTAAGTAAACAAGGGCTAACCTATTCTGGTATATGGCTGATCACATCTTGGTATTTTGCTTAGCTAGAAGATTAAGCACTTGAGCTGTCTCATTAGTAATAATCTCAACTACCACCTGTAGTCTAATAATGCGGTTGAGCATAGATAATCGGAGTTCTATATCCATAAGTGCCATCTTCTGCCCAAGTAGCAGGTCCATAATAATTAATAATACGTTGAGGGGGCCACTCATTATCTTCCCAGCTACCTATATTCAAGGATGCTCTCTCCCTTTTATGATTTACATCGTAAACCTTAACTCCCAAGGTCTCTCCTGTTTCGATTGGCAACAAGAAGAAGGATGGCTTTGGCATACCTAATACACATGCCCCTTCCCAATCTTGTGGTAACTCCGAATAAGTTTTCTTACCACAAATCCAGTATAAATTTGCTGGGGCTTTCCAACTAGATGTAGCCGATAAGTCAAACCATACCTCCTTTAAATGAGTGTAATTGGCAAACTGATTAGTAGGTTCCGAGACATTTGAAGCTGACCACCAAGTAGTATTTTTAGTATTAACATTATAGGCTTTTTGTCCCAAGCAAGTTAGCTCACCTACAGACGTGTTATACATTGTCCCTTTCCTGGCTATACAAACATGACCTATAATGGAGGTTTTCAACCACCATTCCAATTTACTTCTAGTACTTACTTGATGATCAGACTGGAAAGGTATCTGTTGTTCATATGTCTCAGAGCCAGGGTACCATATTTCCTTTGCCTCCCATGGCCACTGGTCTCCCATATTAGTACCTCCACACACATAGCAATTAGTTACATTAAGACTACCTGCAATACCCTCAGCCAAATCAATAAATAGGTTGTTAACATTATGGGGAATTTTATCCTCAATACTCATCTCCTCATAGAAGGAATGAGAAACCTGATGAGTTTGAGTTGCCACTGTCTCAGTTTCAAGACCTACATATATTATTGTTCCTGAATCTACTCCTGTGCCATATATTTGGAACCCAAACAGACCTCCAAACCTGTCAATAAAGTACTGCAGATTGGAAATGGTCATGTGAACGGGGTTACACACATAGTTTTACAGTATGGTGTGGTAGGCAACCTTTGGATAATCATATCTTGATCCACTGTTTTTCCCAGGTTGCCCAACCTACACATGACCAATAGGGGCAGAAGTTAGTCTCTATTTGGGCAATCAGGATCAGTAGATATTTTACTGGGACATAAATATTTATCATTAAACCCATAAGTTCGTTCCCATTTAAGATTACCACATACATTCCAAAGTCTTCCACTACCCGAAATCGCCTTACATGCATCAAATAGTAGAATACCCGTGGAATGTATGGTGCTTATCACAGTCCTATTTATTAATGTCCCCTGGGAGTTACTATTCCGAATTACCAACCAAATTGTACGGGGTTGGAAATGGGGATCAAAACATTTAGACTCTCCTGATATTGGCTTGCACACACTATAATCAATATCCAAATATCTACATTTAGATACAGATCCCTTACATTCATAATGTGAGTGCCAGATGAGAGTTTGGGATATTTGGTTACCTGTTTTAGTAGTCTTAATGCAACTATCGCAATTCGGTATGTCTGTACTCCTACCTTCCTGAAAAAATCATAAAAATACTAAGACACATTATTCCTGAAATCCTCATTTTTCTTCGACCGTGCGATGGCCTCTCAGCTTCCCGATTGTGAGGGCTGCAAGGATGTTGTTCTTCTGATCCTCACTTTCCTTCACAGAGATCCCTTCAAGATACTCTGGCTATGACACGTAGGCAGGTGGTCAGGCTTTATTATGGCCGTCAAAACACCTACTTGATGATCTTTGTAGACTTTTAACTAGAATGTCTCGATATCCCCTCGTCACTCCGACTGAGTTGCACGCTTCAACCGGGTCCTGCAAGGATTCTCAGGATCTGGAGTAGTTTGCCAAGAGTCTGCTGCTGGTTTAACCTTAGAATGATGAATCCAAGGAGTCACTTCCGCCACCTTTACAGCTATTGGGGTAGATAAAAGAACAACATACAAAGGCTAACAGAATACACCCCGAGCTTTAACTCAATATGTATTGGTGGGATATTACGAGCAAGTCCTGGAGGATTATTTTCTTCCCATACTCCTGGAATGTCAAGTAAGGATTCATCACTCTTAGGGTTAACACTTGTCACTATGGAATAGAAGCGCCATTCTTCTTCCCTTGGCACCGATATCGCCATTATGCCTGGTAATCCCTTAAACTTCAGAGATGTTAATCCATTAGGTAAAAGGTTATCTGATCTTAAAGCTTCGATAATAGATCTCTTCCTAAAAGTTGAATCGGACACTCTGGCATATATAGGAACTAATGCTTCACCACATGGCCTCCCAGAATACAAGTGCGACTCTTAAGAACCGGTCTAGCTGCACTTCTCCCAGTAGCTCCTATCACAGTTATAGTCTTCCCCGAAGGCGGAGCCACCATCTTAGTCACCACAGAATGTTCAGCACCTGTGTCGATCATGAAAGAACTTCTCTTTCCCCCTATTGCTACATCGACCATAGGCTACGCTCGACCAAGTGGGATGGAGCCCGGTCGGTATCAATAGTCTTCCATGATAGTGTCAGCCAGACCCACAAAATCTCTATCCTCTCTTTCTCTAAGTCTCTGCGTGGGTGGATAGTATCTGTCTCCTTGAACACTTCCTCTACTATTCCCATCATTCCCTCTAAAACTTCCTCTTCCTCTATAACTACCACTATAACCTCCTCGTACCCTTCTCACTCCTTGTCTATCACCTTCATACTGCTCTCTCTGTGGACACTCACTCTTCCAATGTCCCTCCTTTCTACAATACGCACATTAATTCCTACTTAAAGTCCCTTGCTCAGCCTATTCTCGTCTCCTCTATTCACTTCTCTGTCTTTCTACACTTAAGATAGCTACCGCTAGCATATCTGCCTTTTTCCTCATTTTACGTTCTTCCTCCGTCTCCCTATTCATATATACTGTATTTGCAATCTCCATTAGCTGTAATATGGACATCCCTGCAAATCCCTCTAATTTCTGTAATTTCCTTTTAATATCACCTTGGGCCTGGCTGACATGCTGAGTCTATCATTCGGAAGTTTTCAGGGGCTTCAGGATTGAAAGGAGTGTACAATCTATTTGACTCAAGCAGTATCTAATATGGGACTTCGGCAAGGCTGCTCAATAATAGGTTCCAGTCTAGGAGTAGTAAGATAGGTGTAAGGGGGTGAGCTAATTTTATTAGTCGGCATTTGGTGGATGAAAAAACGTTTTTGTTTAAAGTGTTAAACCAAAAACCTACCAGTAGGTGTCACCAGAGGGTAATTGTATCAAAATAATCTTTATGGGTCTAATAAAAAAAAAACTCAACTTTTAATATATTTATACATAAAATAAAACCTTATAGCAATAAATATATTAAAATAGGGTAAGCAATCCTACTTCTATCTGTTATAAACAATGTATTATCAATGTAACTCCCAAAGATGGCCCGTAGGTGGCTTAGAGTGCCTCCCTAAAGTCAAATGAAACAAATAGACTTTAATTAATTATGTCCTATTTTATTATTACTTATTTTAATCAATGTCCACCCTGATAGCTAGGCTTGATTAAATCTTTAGTTCTAAGGTAAATTAAACATTTCAGTTTGTAGTTTAGTAAAAGGGGACATTTTGGACAAAGCTGGGAGGGGCCCATCCAGTAACTAAAAAACCAATATACCATCTGATACCATTGATCATTGATTAGGGGGAGGGGTAGTACAGAAATACAAGAGTTTGAAACACAGGAACAGATAGGTATGTGGGTAGGCGGGGACAGTAGAGCAGGGGGAGTGCAAATACTGACTATATACCAGTTTTTAGCTTGGGAAGAAGAATAGGGGCGTGGCTACTGTAGCTCTGGAGGATGTTTGGGGGGTTGGTAATCAGATGCCAGGGGGGAGGGGATGTCCAAAGCAGTTGTAATTAAGTCCTTAGTTCTGACCACCATATGGCTACATTGTTTCCCATATGACACAGTTTAATTCACCAAGGCAGTTTTTCAACAATCAGTTTCCAACAGTCAATATATAGAAACTGATCATAGAATTCCAGCCTACTAGTTACAGCCACATGTACACCCTGCACTAATTTTAAGTGAAGACTGCTACATGGAGGCCATGCGGCCACCAGGACAGGCTACTCCCTACTTTTTTTTTTTTTGAAAACATACAAGACAAAAGACTAACAGCCTAGTGAATCAGAAGATCATTGCAACAGAACGTCTGATTCAAAAAGCTGTACAAATATACACACAGTTTCAACAGTCACACCAATCTCCTTATCACCAGCAACACATTGCGCAGTCACTAGGCCCAAACACACACACAGGATCCTCACATGCTCAACAATATCACGACGTCGCACACACGAAATTAAATCAAAAACCCACCAAAGACTATACACTTATCAATGTAACTATTATTCAAACCATACAACTATCCACGCTATTAATCCATATAAACTAACCGATCACATAACATTTCAACAATTTCATCTCTACAATTATCCGTACTATAAATCAACTTTTGACTAACCAACTATATCACATTCTAGTAACCTCATCTTTACAGTCAGTGGTTATGGTACAGTTAGTAAGTGGTTATAATACAGTTTTAAAGTCACAGATCAGTTAGTAACAGTTATGGTATTATACATATAACATAAAACAGCAATTGTTAGTAATTTTTACACAATGTCAGTGGTTATGGTATATGTCAGTAGTTATGGTACCGTGCGCTATTTTACAGTTATACACACAATTTACACTCCCACTAGACAGCAGAGCTCTAACTTTCTAGTAGGACATACAAGTTAACCAATTCACCAACTACAATATATTTAACAACATTTACAATAATCCCAACTATTCTAACTGGCCAGCACCTCGAGAGCTTTCGATCTATTTATACACCAGAGATTCGATAAGTTCTTCGCTGCCCAGACACCACGTATAGCGAACTAGAGGGCAGAATTTACACAGTACCCAGCTAGTCTATTAAACTATCAATAAGCTAGTGGCTGGATTTACAACAGAGCACACTTAGTTAAGATAGGGTGAAATCTAGCAAACTATAATATACAACAGAGTATGCTAGTCTCCCGGTCCCCCCGACCTAGCGAACAAAATTTACACCCTAGATACGCTAGTCAAGACAGGACACCGGTGTCCGACATGAGCTATTTACACCAGAACTCAGTCTGACCCAAACCACCTATATTAGACGGGCTGACTACAGAGCGTCTAATTTCCAGATAAGTGTTGCGCTTTCACTTCTTCCATCCATCAGGACAGGGCAGATTCCAATAACCGGTTCCAAATATAAAACCCCTTGTGGGTCTACCGCTCTAACGGTATCAATCTTACCTGTTAATTTCTGGACCTGGGTTCACTCATAGACGGAACAATCCGGGACTCACTGCGCAGAAGCCGATGATCTCCTGGACAAAAGGCCAGTGGCGCCGAGACGAAAGGAGGTCCACGCAGTAGAAGTCCAGGATTGTAGCGTAGAAGGTTTGGTAAAAGTTTACCGTCTCAAATCTCTGCGCTAGCTTCCATGCAAATGAGGTTCCCACTGCCAATGCACCAGAGATGTTGCAGTGTAAGCATGCAGAAGCCAAACACAGAAATATTGGACACAGGTCTTCAGGAAGTAACAGGCCTTTATTCACATTACCGATCGGGTCTCAGATGAACTCCTGTTCCAACATTCTGAGAGACCAACACATAGTGTACATTCCTTATATAGCACTATAACTCCTCCCATTAATAGCTACACCCACATATACATTTAACCAATCAATGAGCAGAATATAGACTTGTACATCTAGTCAAACCACATGGCTCATCCAAGACAAAGGAAATAAGTGCAGTTCCTGCATTCCTGCACATGCTCAGTACACTGATGACAGTATCCTAGCTACATGTAGCTAACCAACTGACACAACATACACATATGCCACATGGAGATTTTGGCCTACTAAATTTTAACCATGCTGGAATCCCATCACACTAAAGCTGTTTGATTTACCACATGCTCTCATATTTGGTACATGAAAGTCTTCTCCTGATGTAGGAGCTCTTTTTCCCTCTTTCAACTGCTTTCTCAATCACGTTATTCATTTAAATTAATAATAATAATAAATTCAGTCTTGCACTATTGGCTACCCATGGTTTTTTTTTTTTTTTTTATATTACTTTACTGTCATCTGACTAAATATCTAAACAAAATAACATTTTAAAGGATCACTATAGGGTCAGGAACACAAACCACCATTAACACCACCATCTAGCTCCCCTGGGGCCCTCATGCCTCTATAAATATAGCAAAATCTTACTGTATTCAAGCCTGAAGTTGCAACTCTGCATGCTGTTAGACTCAGAAAAACAAGCAGTCTGCTGACCTCATTAGAAGTGGTGGCCTGATGCAATCACAGTGCTTCTCCATAGGATTGGCTGAGACTGACAAAGAGGCAGATCAGGGGCAGAGCCAGTATGATTCAAACACAGCCCTGGCCAATCAGCATCTCCTCATAGAGATGAATTGAATCAATGAATCTCTATGAGGAACGTTCAGTGTCTGCATGCAGAGGGAGGAGATACTGAATGTTTGGATGCATTTTAGGCAGCCATGACCCAGGAAGGATCTCTAACAGCTATCTGAGGAGTGGCCAGTGAAGTTATCACTAGGCTGTAATGTAAACACTGCATTTTCTCTGAAAAGACAGTGTTAACAGCAAAAAGCCTGAAGGTAATGATTCTACTCACCAGAACAAATTCAATAAGCTGTAGTTGTTCTGGTGACTATAGTGTCCCTTTAACTAGATTCCTTTTTTTTTCACAGCTGTGGATAAGCAGACTTGCAGCAGCAACCAGAGAACATGGCATGAAATATCCTGCTTTGATATGCAATCTTGTTAAGGTAAGTAGTTTAAAAAAAAAAAAAATTATAATTCTGTTTTGCTAAAGAAGGACTGAAAGAATGTTATTTAAAGTACAATTTATGCTACTGATACATTTTCACAGTCCAGTAGCTAACTAAAAATTAACTTGTTAATTTTGTTTTTCTTTTTTTTGTTTTTGTTTTGGTTTATTGAGGCAAAATTATGAAGGTACAGACATTTTAGAGTGCATATGCTAACAAGTAGAGGCAAAAACTCACATAATATGTATAGCATTCAGGATCATCAAGCCTCAGGATTTGTTTTTTTTTGGAGGGAAAATAAAAGTATAACACAATAGGAAATGGGAACTTGGTAGACTACAGATTAATTCCAGCATGAATAAAGTCGCACAGTGAGGTTGTCGAAAACAGCCTATCAGTGGAAGGTGGAATAAACTTTATGACCTGCTAATCCCATTCCTATGACATATAAATCAGATTACCTCTGGGTGATTGTATAAGAGAACTGTCATAGTGGCTTCTCCAGGCTACTGGATCATCTGAGGGGTGATAGCACATTAAATTATATAAAACAGTAAAATAAAATAACAGGATGAGTGTTCTTAACATGCAAGACTTTCAGTTCCCCCTAACCATCAGCAAATCCCCATACTAGGGTATATATTCGTGGATTCAGATAGCGTCCGTACCAAAACATGTTCTCGGGAGGGATCTTAAGAACAAGCTGCATAAACTTTAAATCTGCTCGTCCGAGAAGGCAAATTGCAGTAGGGTGTACTCCAGGTAAGCACAGAGTAAAAATAGTGAAAAATCTCGATTTAGTGGTCAAAAAGCTGTTGATTTCTGTAGAGCACCTCTCACATATAACCTGCTCGGCATGCAGTCAGGCCTCGCCCTCCCGGCAATTTTATTTCTATAAAATTCCTAGTCGTTTTTATTTTTACTTTATACTGTATGCCGGGCTATACAGGCACAGCCAGGGCATACCCTGTAAATTAACCTAACCTTTGCCATGCTATATACACTTGTGCTAATGGGATTAAACCAATCCTGGCTTTCTTCACTGATCCCCAAAGAACAAAGTAGTAATTAGTTCTTTTAACCCATTCGCAATAGATGGCATCACAGGACTGTCATGATATACTACTTGCAGTGTTTTCATGATATTTAATAACCTTTGACATTCTGTCTGATGTAATATTCCTGATATCTGCATCAGTTATAAAATATGCTACAAAGATTTTTAAACCAAGTAAAAAAAGAAATTGGGAATATATCGGATGCATACTAGGGAAATATATTTTAAGCTCGCAATACAGGTAGCTACTAGAATTCTCTTCAATTCAATTGATTTTCCACAGAGGGTTTCCTTCCCCAGTTATACCACCCCTACCCCCCCCAAATGCTTCCTTTCCTACTGACACCACAACGATTACAGATTACAGGTCACTGGGTCTTTGACGTAGGGACAGCACCGGTCCAAGATGTTTTATGTATAAAGAGAATACAGCACCTGCTGTACCTGCCTTCTTTTGTCCTTGTATATGATCAAGTGATGGTGATGTGTGATCCATGTGTGTTGGGTACAAAACTATACAGGGAGTGCAGAATTATTAGGCAAATGAGTATTTTGACCACATCATCCTCTTTATGCATGTTGTCTTACTCCAAGCTGTATAGGCTCGAAAGCCTACTACCAATTAAGCATATTAGGTGATGTGCATCTCTGTAATGAGAAGGGGTGTGGTCTAATGACATCAACACCCTATATCAGGTGTGCATAATTATTAGGCAACTTCCTTTCCTTTGGCAAAATGGGTCAAAAGAAGGACTTGACAGGCTCAGAAAAGTCAAAAATAGTGAGATATCTTGCAGAGGGATGCAGCACTCTTAAAATTGCAAAGCTTCTGAAGCGTGATCATCGAACAATCAGCGTTTCATTCAAAATAGTCAACAGGGTCGCAAGAAGCGTGTGGAAAAACCAAGGCGCAAAATAACTGCCCATGAACTGAGAAAAGTCAAGCGTGCAGCTGCCACGATGCCACTTGCCACCAGTTTGGCCATATTTCAGAGCTGCAACATCACTGGAGTGCCCAAAAGCACAAGGTGTGCAATACTCAGAGACATGGCCAAGGTAAGAAAGGCTGAAAGACGACCACCACTGAACAAGACACACAAGCTGAAACGTCAAGACTGGGCCAAGAAATATCTCAAGACTGATTTTTCTAAGGTTTTATGGACTGATGAAATGAGAGTGAGTCTTGATGGGCCAGATGGATGGGCCCGTGGCTGGATTGGTAAAGGGCAGAGAGCTCCAGTCCGACTCAGACGCCAGCAAGGTGGAGGTGGAGTACTGGTTTGGGCTGGTATCATCAAAGATGAGCTTGTGGGGCCTTTTCGGGTTGAGGATGGAGTCAAGCTCAACTCCCAGTCCTACTGCCAGTTCCTGGAAGACACCTTCTTCAAGCAGTGGTACAGGAAGAAGTCTGCATCCTTCAAGAAAAACATGATTTTCATGCAGGACAATGCTCCATCACACGCGTCCAAGTACTCCACAGCGTGGCTGGCAAGAAAGGGTATAAAAGAAGAAAATCTAATGACATGGCCTCCTTGTTCACCTGATCTGAACCCCATTGAGAACCTCTGGTCCATCATCAAATGTGAGATTTACAAGGAGGGAAAACAGTACACCTCTCTGAACAGTGTCTGGGAGGCTGTGGTTGCTGCTGCACGCAATGTTGATGGTGAACAGATCAAAACACTGACAGAATCCATGGATGGCAGGCTTTTGAGTGTCCTTGCAAAGAAAGGTGGCTATATTGGTCACTGATTTGTTTTTGTTTTGTTTTTGAATGTCAGAAATGTATATTTGTGAATGTTGAGATGTTATATTGGTTTCACTGGTAATAATAAATAATGGAAATGGGTATATATTTGTTTTTTGTTAAGTTGCCTAATAATTATGCACAGTAATAGTCACCTGCACACACAGATATCCCCCTAACATAGCTATAACTAAAAACAAACTAAAAACTACTTCCAAAAATATTCAGCTTTGATATTAATGAGTTTTTTGGGTTCATTGAGAACATGGTTGTTGTTCAATAATAAAATTAATCCTCAAAAATACAACTTGCCTAATAATTCTGCACTCCCTGTAAATAAAAAATATAAAACAAAAATTGTCTTAAATTCTCCGTGAAAATAAATGATCCATTCAGAAAAAAAAGTCTTCTTTTTTTATTTTTTTTTACATTTAAATTCCTGTCTCTTAACACACTGTTGGAGGTGGTTACATTATCTCCAAAAACAAAACAGGATTACTGTAGCCGTTCTTAGTATTTCTGTTTATTAAATTACGTTTTGTGCTTTTTTTGTTTTTTTCTTTTATGTTCTAGTGCCAAGTGGCTTTAAACAGGAAAGTGCTTTCCGATTTGTCCATCTACGAACCCAAGACATTTAAATCTCTGGCGGCCTTGGCTAAGAGGAGACGGGAGGAAGGTTTTCTGTCTGCCTTGGGGGATGGCAAAGAACCAGAAGGGATATTTTCCAGAGTGGTGCATTATAATTAATGACAAAAGCTTGAAACAGAACAGACATTTCAAGAACTTTTTAAAAAACAAAACATTGGTCTGACTTGAAGACTTTCATTGTGCTAATTTAATGGGTAATATTAATCTGTGAGTAAGCAATTGTGCACATGTTGATAATGTGTTTCCTGCATTTATAGCAATGTTGATTTTACAAAACTCCTGTGCATCTAATAACATCTAAATACATAGAGATGTACCTTTTTCAAGAGCTTTTTATGAAAGAAAACATTATTGAATGCCGACTACTTCATTGTGCACTTCAGCTAGTAAGTATACATTATATATGTATTGAATAGTGATTCGTTGAGGCATTTGAAAGCTGATGAACCAATGTGAAAATTATTGTATACATACAAAGCTACCATTCCTGCATATGGCTTGACCCGATTATCGTGTGGACAATTTGATTGGTTATTTTCAAACTTTTTAGAATATATACATAGCTGTATTGTGAGAACATGGTTTTTGATCTACTGAATAAATATTTTGCAGCGATCAAGGAAGTGGGTGTTTAAATATTTTACTTTTTTCCTAGGTTATTATGATGTAAATAAGAGAATGCATTGCAGGGTTAAGTGCTTGTTAAGAAAAGAAAAAAAAGTTTAGCTAATACAAATCTGAATTAAAGAATTTTCAGTATTTGTAAAATTGAACCAAGAAAAATAGTATTTGCTTTTATTAGCCGTAATATAGAAGTATTTTAGTCATTGCTTTTGAGTTGCCTAGTTTTCAATTCAACAGTTATTTAGATTATCTAGCATCCTGCATTTAGAAGAACTGACCCTTTTTGGAGCAACCAAATCACTTGTTCCCTTCATGCTGCATATCCCCCATTTCTAGGTTATCCATCGACACCTAAAATATATGTTCCTAGAACAGGGTAGGCAACCTTTGGTACTCAAGATGTTGTTGACTACGACTCCCTTGATACATTGTCAGCATTATGGCTGTAAGAGTGTCATGTAGCCAAAGCTTGCCTATTCCCTGTCCTAGAAAATGGGGAGGCAAAGAAAAGAGGCATGTATTTGTATAACGTAGCGTTTAATGAGATCTATGCTGACTGAATAATGAACTTGTCAGTTGATCTTGAAAACCCGACATGAGGGCCAATTGCTTCTGTAATGACGAACTGTAGCAAATTCAGAATGGTATAGAATCTAACTATATATTGTAATGCAATGATGATTTATACTACAGACATGTGCTATGTGGGTTATGGTACTATTACGGTTTGAGTGCCATCACCAGTTCTCGGTCAAACCAGCTGGACCAAATGTGCCCCATGGGGACCCTTATTTTCAACAATGGGACAACATCCACAACACAATAGCATTATAACCACTACATTGATATAGTGGTTATGGACCCCAGACTGTTTCTTAAATGTTGCCAGTAACCACTAAATCTAATATTCATAAATTTGAATCTAATCATGTAACGATCCCCCCCTCCCCTTACATGTTAACCCTTTTTGTATAAATGTAAATGAGTAATTCAAGGTTAAGTGCAAATTTTCAACCATTTCCAAAGCTAATAAAATTACTACTTTATTTCATCCAAGTATCCTCAAGTGTGTAAATTGACAATACACTGAGATTAAAACATAGAAACATAGAATGTGATGGCAGATAAGAACCATTCGGCCCATCTAGTCTGCCCAATTTTCTAAATACTATTATTAGTCCCTGGCCTTATCTTATAGTTAGGATAGCCTTATGCCTATCCCACGCATGCTTAAACTCCTTTACTGTGTTAACCTCTACCACTTAAGCTGGAAGGCTATTGCATTTATCCACTACCCTCTCATTAAAGTAATACTTCCTGATATTATTTTTAAACCTTTTTGCCCCTCTAATTTAAGACTGTGTCCTCTTATTGTGGTAGTTTTTCTTCTTTTAAATCTAGTCTCTTCCTTTACTGTGTTGATTCCCTTTATGTATTTAAATGTTTCTATCATATCCCCCCTGTCTCGTCTTTCCTCCAAGCTCTACATGTTAAGATCCTTTAACCTTTCCTGGTAAGTTTTATCCTGCAATCCATGAACCAGTTTAGTAGCCCTTCTCTGAACTCTCTCTAAAGTATCAATATCCTTCTGAAGGTACAGTCTCCAGTACTGCGTACAATACTCCAAGTGAGGTCTCACCAGTGTTCTGTACAATGGCATGAGCACGTCTCTTTCTACTGCTATATAACCAAGCATTCTGCTAGCATTTCCTGCTGCTCTATTACATTGTCTGCCTACCTTTAAGTCATCTGTAATAATCATCCCTATATCACCTTGCCCCTGGCAGCAGCAAGTTTCACAGGGTTATTCATTAACATTAGAATTCAAATGAAATTTCAGTGAATTTCACGGTAAAAAGAGAGGAACTGGAAACTTTTTTGAAGTCCGAGATGCTTCCAGTTTGGCTACTTGGGCCCTAAATTTTGAAATTCACTTTGAATTCTCACTTTGGTGATTAACCTGGTCAGTGAGGATACTGCCCCAGGCTATAAAACTGTTAGTGGCTAATTATGACACCTTAGAAGAATAGATAATTTAAAATCAATATATTGTGCCTATATGTTGTCATTTAACCGTTGCAGGGCTGTTAGATTTATTTAGTGGTGTGTATATGATCATGAAATCAAAGTGAATTACAAATATTATGCCTAATATTGCCAAAATGAAAACTTAGCGAGCTTGTAAAATGTTTTCCACTTTTGCAAAAAATTGAGTATTCACAATTGAGTGAATGTATGTAGTTTTATTTTTCAGCATATAGTTGGTTTTTATTATGGTATTCGGTTTTTAATTGGCATGGTAAAGAAGCCTGGCAGTAATGTTTTAATCACTGCATTTGCGGTCTTAGGCCAGTGCTTGCTGCCTATCGTTTGTCTAAATTTGCATTGCTTTGTTAGGATAACACTTAGGGACACTCCAGATCCTTAAACCATGGTAGCCTGCTGAAATGTTTTGTATATGAGCAGTGTGTTCTATTTTTTTCTTTTTCTTTTTCATTTTACAAAAAATAAATAATTCAATGGAAATTGACACTTTTTTTTTTTATAAATTCTGCTTGTTACACTCCCCCATGTTTTCAAGCAGCCAAGTCCTATTACTTCCTGGTGTGTCTAGCTCAATGGAGCTAAACTCAAGACCAAAAATTTCACCTGATTTTCAAAGACTTCTCATTGAGCTACATTGGAAAGCCGGTGATTTGGACAGACACAGAAAGTCTGGATGGGGTTTGAAGGTGAGGGGTTGCAAAGGCTGCAAATAAGGGGCGGCAGCATATGAATGTTTTATGTAGAGCAGGCCTTTACATGCACCTACAGTAGATTGAATGGGTCCATCACAACATGGTACACTGGCAATTCCCATACTGACTTCGATGCGTTAATTTACATATTCTTACTGGTATTTATATAGCGCCAGAATTTTCCGTAAAGCTTTACAATATTATCAAAGATTGAGATTTAACAATAAATGAAATAATTACAAATACTTACAGGAACAATAGGTTGAAGAGGTCCCTGCTCGAATGAGCTTACAGTCTATAGGACATATAGGTTGCATGTTACATATTGGTACCACTTTTAAAATTATAAAAAAAAAAAAAAAAAAATTCAAATTTTTTTCATTATTGAGCTGGTCGTTTTTTAATGAAGTTAATATAAGCCTATAGACTGTAAGCGCGTTTGAGCAGGGTCCGTTCAACCTATCGTTCCTGTAAGTTTTCTTGTAATTGTCCTATTTATAGTTATATCCCTCCTCTTATAATATTGTAAAGCGCTACGGAATCTGTTGGCGCTATATAAATGGCAGTAATAATAATAATGAGAACCACTATAATATTTTTTTATTTTTAAATGGACCTCTACACACACGGCGACATCTATCTCTGATGGTCGTTATGTATCTAGTGTTTAAAACTCTCCATTTGCGTAATCGCGTCCGGAAATGGTGACGGAGACCGTGGGGTGGGGACTAGACGTAAAGATTCTTTCAGGCACGCTCCGTGAGGTCAGTCTAGTGAGATTTGATAGACGGGGCGTTCAACCAATCCGCGCACAGGTGAGGTGCCTTCTCAGCCAATGAGCGCGCGGTGTACCCGGTCGGCATTTTATAAAGAACAGAGCAGCAGCGCCGCGCTCCGAGTTGATTCTGTGGAGGAGGAAAAAAAAAATAATCAGCGGAGAAGATGGCCGCCCTCCCTTCCAATGGCATTCTGATCGGCGACAAGACCTACTCGGGCGTCATGATCTCCCTGGAGAACTGCCTGATCTCTGAGGAGAAATGCGCCCTGACTCCGTCTATCCTGGACGGCCTGGACCTGGACACCGAGACCGACCTGCGCTGTGTGGGCTGCGAGCTCATCCAGGCAGCCGGCATCCTACTGCGGGTGCCTCAGGTGAGACCGAGATAGGGGCAGCCAGGGCCCTGGCCGAGCCGCCCGCCCGGCACTCAGCGCCCCCCCGGGCCTGGGAGGGGGTTCGCGGGGATTGTGGAGGGGAGGACGGGGCTCGGGCCTAGTGGGCAGGCTGGAGCCTGAGCTGGAGTTTCAGGGCGGTAGCTGGTTAGCGGGGGGATCATGGCTTCACCTGAGATGGCAGCGGTGACCGTCACCGGGTTAGGGCTGCTGGGGGGGGGAGGGGGGATTACCGGTTACCGATCCCTCCCTCACTCGCCGGCAGACGGAGGGTATTCACTAAGGTGCGATGTGGATTTCAAATTGTTGATCAAAATGAAGTGGGCTGTTAGTAAAATAATAAAGAATTTAAAAACTGAGCTACAAACCTGGAAATGTACTCTGAAATAACCAAGCTGAAAGTACAGCTACTTTTTATTATTATTATTATTGGCCATTTTGTTTTACAATTTGGATTTTGGTGAGTGACCCTGTTAAATAAATAAAAAGGGCCAATTTGTGAAATTTACTTTGTATTACTGACAATCCCTGCTGGAGTATAATCACCCTTGGAAGAGTTTATTTACTCAACACTGACCAGCAAAATGGCACCAGAATTCAGGCTAAAATCTCCAGGTTTTGACTGTAGCAGAGAGGTAGAATTGTTCTAAAACTGTTTATTCTTGGCCCTGTTTAAGAAAGGTTCAAGTTGTGGGATCCATTGTTTGGTTCATATTCAGGGAGAATTAGGGACAATTCTGCAGAAAAGGGGTCAGTATTGTGAAATAATGGGTTTCAGTGATGGAAGCGATGTGCCACAAATGTAATTAAATTATTTTTTTTTTTTAAACTTGATTGGCCCTATGAAAAGCAAAATGTAAACATGGTAGAGAGTTGCACACTGTGAGAGATGTCTGGCATCAATTAGGAGATACTTTTTGGGAAACTGTTCTTGTTGCAGTTGTAAATATTATCTAATACCGCTTGGTATTAGGTTTGCTATGAACGTATATATATATTTTTTTTTTTTAATAACTCTTAATATTACCTTTTTGTTATAATCATCTGATGGGTGTCTTTTATTTCTCCTCTCTTCAATCTATTTTGAAATATTTGAAGAAATCCCAAGTCTACCTTTCCTACTCCCCCTTTATGATAGCCATGGATATGCAGGTTTGGTCAGATTAGGTGTTTTGTTACCCAGTGCTCATGTGTTGCTTTTCAAAATCGTGTTGAAGCATTTGTTTTTTCAAGTGGTTTCATAAAAAAAAGTAAATATACATTTAATTTAAATGTTTTCTTGTTATAATAGAGATAATAAATTGGGTGGCACTTGCAACTTTTGTTGATCAAGTTGTGTGATGACAGGCAAAGCATCATGGGATTTGTAGTTCTGGAACAGTTGAACTGCTGTTTGGCCACCCATGTGTATTTTGTTTTGTATACTAAATACTTAGTATCTACTATGATGAAAGAGAACATGAGTGTTGTTCAGTTTCTGGGAAAGTACCTCAGCCCAGTTTAACTGGAACATACGTCACCAAGGCTGTTCTCATTCATTCTAGGTGACGTTCGTATTTTTCAGTTTCCATTTCCTCAATGCCTCTAGGGGTGGAGTTGATGCAATTCAGCTGTTTCCTAGCACAGGACACATTGTGCAATACTGCTTCCAGTTTAGATTTATATTGTGTTCCTACGTAATGCAATTATTTGTTCACAATGAGTTTTGTCTGCTCTAATCTAGCCTCTTATATGTAATTCTTACCTTGCAAATACACCACGTTTGTTTAGTATTTTTAAGTACAGCAACATAATAATTGGAAGGTGTCACAGGAATAAATAAATGGCATATGAACATTACTAAACATAATAGTTTAAATGCTGCAAGGTGGTTGTTGTGGTTTTTGTTTTTCTCCCATCAACAACCTTGATTATGATAGTCCTAGTTTAAAAGCCGAAAAGCCTTTTCTTATAGCTCTTATGTCTGGTACATACAATAGGGTCCTATTTAATTCAAAGTTGTTGGGGGTTTTTTTTGGGGGGGGGGGAAATAAATACAATTGTGTTGCCTTCTAAGCAGCTTTTAATAAAAAAAAAAAATCGGGCTGTTTGACATGGCAGGCATTGCAGATCACATAGGATAATGGTTTCTGATGCTTCTGCCATCACTTGTTGCTCATATTAGAGAAATGCGTGTCTAAAGGGAATGCCTTTCACAATTGTGGCCTTGTTGTGAGAGACAGTGCTACATAAGGTAAAGTCCTTAGTTTCCCTTAGCTTTAACCTAAAAGTAATGACTCCCCTTACATGACTGTTGGAGAGAAAAATAGCATTCCAACTTTTATATATCTCTTTGTAGGTTGCCATGGCTACCGGACAGGTTTTATTTCAACGGTTCTTCTACACCAAATCCTTTGTGAAGCATTCAATGGAGGTAAGCATCACTGCTCTAATGTTAAACAATAACTATACTATGGTTTTGTAAAATGTATCCGCTCTGATTTAAATTTTTTCTTTTTTCTTTTTTTTCTTCTTCCTTTTTCTCAGCATGTTGCAATGGCCTGTGTCCAGTTGGCATCCAAAATTGAGGAGGCACCAAGACGTGTTAGAGATGTGATTAATGTGTTTCACCGGCTGCGACAGCTGAGAGAAAAACAGTAAGTTGCCAATGAACCATTACTCTATATTTCTATTGTAATATAGTTTTAAAACAACGCTGTCATATTAGTAGAAACTAATTTTAGATATCACTAGGCTGCTTATTTTTTAAATTGGGGGGGGAAAACAGGCGGGCCTCCTGCTCTACCGAATAGCAAAAACACAGTTGATGCCCTTTGGTTTATGTGATTACTCCCTAGTTGGCATTTCTTGTGCTTGTTCTGTAGTATGTATGGCGTCGTGCCTAGGAGAGAGATATTTAAAGTAGTCAGGCCAGTTTTCTTCCTGTACAGTTCATTGCAATTTCATGCGAAGAAGTACAAAATGGGGCTCCTCCATCAATCCTCTCTCGTATGCAGCAAGATACAAAGTGGAGACCGTTTCATAATGTGCCTTTTAACAACAAAACCTTTACTGAAAACCTCTTCATGTTAAATCTTAAAAAAAAAAAAATATTTTTTTTTAAAAACTCTTAACAGAAGATATGTCTTGGTAACATCTTTCAATACATTAAAACAGAAACAGCAGGTTAAAGGCGTGTAGCTTTTTACCACGAATAGGTCATGGAGTATATTTTACCCAACAAAACAAAATTTTTTGGACTTGAGCTATCCTTTTTATTGCAAACGTATTTGTATTCTAACGTGTAGAAATGTTCTTGATTTCAAGAATTATTTCTTAACAGGAAACCGACACCATTGATCTTGGATCAGGAGTATGTTAACTTGAAAAACCAGATCATTAAAGCAGAGAGGAGAGTCTTGAAGGAATTGGGTTTTTGTGTTCACGTCAAGCATCCTCACAAGGTGGGTTCCTTTTTAATTCTTTTTTTTCCAACTGGTATATCTTAATATGGTAGTTAAAGTAAAATTTAAGCATATATATCTTAGATTTATGATTATATATTTCAGATCATCGTAATGTATCTCCAGGTATTGGAGAGTGAAAAGAATTCGCATCTTGTCCAAACTTCATGGTAAGTGACTTATTCTTGTATTTGAACATTTTTTGTGATGACTAAAATGTGAAACCCTTTCATTGCCACGCATGGTGTGTAGGGCATTGCAGGGCAATGCAGTATGTACCTTGTTGGCATTACAGTACATTAATTTGCAGCGGTTTCCAAGTGTTCACTGTTGAAGATCTGTTTGTCATTGACTGAAGGGAAATGCTGCATGAGAATCGCGTCAGCATTCCCCTATCTGGAGTGAAGATTGCTGTTTATGACTGTAAGCTGCCTTTGACAGGGAAAGATTGTTCTGTCACTTGCGACACACCTTCAAGCTCAACTCGTGTTTGCTTCTGAAGAACAAGCTGAATTCATCAAAATGTTCAGGGCAAAATAAACCTATTTAGAAAAATCTTTCATTTTACTTGTTCCCTAGCTTCGGTTATACATTAAGCAGCAGTTCTAAACATACAAGTATAAAAGCTTTGTCTTCTAGGTCTGTGATCCCAATCCCATTTATAGTGTTCATACTAGGCAAGAATTTGGGGGAATTCTCTATTCTATACCTGTTGGGTTAGTGACCAAACCAGGACAGATTTGTAGACCCTTGAATGGGATTGGGATCTCCGTGTATTGCACCTACTTTAACTTAATTTTGTTGCTTTAGCATGGGATTTGGGGGGGTTAAATTAATTGTTTGGGGGGGGGGGGGTTAATTACAATTTCTGATTGATCTTTCTGGTGCTTTATTTATCGTTGGATGGAGAGCCTATTTTAACTTTTGTTTTCTGTACTCTTTTGATCAAAGGCTAGCCTCTGAGGGTAAGTGACTAAGACTTCTCCTCTGCTGTCCAAGCGCTTTGGTGCAGGGATAGCTGCCGTCTTCAGTCAATCCCAAGCAGGTTCCCCAGAAAGAAGGCTGCCTCTGGTCAGGTGGTATACAGCGGAATGATGGGGTTGCGGCTCCTCTGTTTTAAAATGTTTGTCTCTACAATGAAAGCTGGTACTGATTTGCAACTTAAATGTTTACGTTCATAATCTGTTCTTCTGCCTTATTTGAATCTAAAGCAGCTATGTAATCTCAAAAACCTCTTCACTTTAATTTCACAATGTGCATATTGTGTGACCATTTGACGCTGACTCATTAATCGTAGCAATTCTATTATTTCCTAAGTTTAGTACTGCCTGAACTTACTAAATATGTTCAGTATTTTACAGCAGTATCCGCATATGAAATGCCAACTTGAAAAAAAAACATAACTCTTTGCCTAAAGAGCTGCATAAGAATATTCCTAGAAGCGCACCAACTTAAACTGTGAAGCGTTTAAAGTGAGCAATTTTACAACTGAACTCACATTTGTGGACCTTGATCCCCAGTACTGGACTGTCTATCAGTGTCACCTAACTTTTTTCTATTTTCTTTTTATACAGATTAAATTGGCTTTTTTGAGATCTCAAAACTACTCTTAAATTAATTCTCAGTACAGGTTTACAAAGTTAAAATTGGTTCTCCATCCTCAATAATGCAGCTCCTTTATCTTTGCAATGCAAGATGGTCTACAATTTAAAGAAAAAAATCCCCCAAATTGGTGGTGGTAGGACAGCTACAGAATATTAGAATTGCCTAACTTTCATTCCAGGAACTACATGAATGACAGCCTGCGTACAGATGTCTTTGTAAGATTCAATCCTGAAACTATTGCATGTGCCTGTATCTACTTGGCTGCAAGAACACTACAGGTGAGCATATTCAATTGTGCAACGTCTAGTAGAGTGTTGAGGCCGAGCTGTCACTTCTGATGGAAGTTGTTTTTGTGTTTTTATTTAATTTATTTTTCTTACCTTGCATTGAATATAAGGTTGTGAGATGTGAAAAATGCAGAAATCCACATTTCTTTATCTTGCAACTGGGTACATCCATCTTTAATTTGAGTCAAACTGTCCTCATGGCAGTTCGTGTAGAGAAAGCACCTCATGAGAAAATGTTCACTCCAGTTCTAGGTGATTTACAGTGCTTACTAGTGTAAATGCCAGAGTAGTGACATGTCCTTTTTTTATTATTTTTTTTTTTTATTTTTTTTTTATTGCAAGCTTTCTAACTTTTATGAAGTTTGTATTTACAAATCCTATGGATTTTAGGTCATGTTTACATTATTTTTGTTTTTAGATTCCACTGCCAAATCGCCCTCACTGGTTCCTCTTGTTTGGTGCAACTGAAGAAGATATCAAGGATATCTGCCTTCAAATTTTAAGGCTGTACACTCGCAAAAAGGTATGTCTGCCCTTATTCTTAAATAAGCAAGTGCTGTGCATCTTCGTTTTAGAAACTGAACTGAAGTTTTAATATTTTATAGGCTGACCTAACACTTCTCGAAAGCAAAGTTGAGAACCGCAAACTAATTCTTGAGGAGGCTAAAGCCAAGGCAAAAGGGTTGTTGCCAGATGGTACACCTCGCATAGACAATGCTCCTGAGTTTTCACCTTCTCTGAAAAATGGTAAGTATTTGGTAATGTGTTGGGTTAGGGCAGTTTGCATTAATAGCTAAAACTGATGGTATGTTTCTTTCTAGATTCTCCAAAAGAAGGAAAATCTAGCAAATTGTCACCAGTTTCCACACATACTCTGAAGAATGCAAAGAGGAAAATTGATACCAAAAAGCCTACATCATCCAGTCCAGTCAATGGGTAAGAGTTTGAGATTGATTTCCCTGGCTGTGTAGATTTTGTTTTTATGCAGGTGTTATAATGGGGTACCACTAAAGTTCTGGTTATGGCACTAGGACTACCCTGGAAACTGCTTTGAACAGGATTACACTTACCATAAGTAAGTGCAGAAACTTTTCAAATATCACTAAAGTTCACTACCGCTTTAGAAATGTTAATTGTCTGTGTTTGGACAGAGTTTACAGACTGAAACTGTTCATTTGTTCTCAAACACACAAATTAAATCGGTTTTTCTATAGTAGATGGGGAACTTGGACTTTTGAGATAATTATTGAGAAGGCCCGTACTTGAGACACCTTTGGAACCCAGCTAAGTTTTGTAAACAGAAAACTTTTTGCCTTAAAGAATCTGTATGGGCATTATAATAACTTTGAAAAGAGGTTATGGTGCCCAGGGGTCCCTAGCGTATCTTCTTACCTGAAGCGGTTGTCAAACAGTTTAACAACAAAGGTCGGTTGGGCAGCTGTACCACCTATTTGGTTAGCGAGGTCAGATGACTCTTTTAGACAAATAGTGGCTCCCCATCATAAAAACCCCCTTCCTTTAATTGTCCATGATTGTCATGATGCTGCATTTTATCCTGACATAAAGGCTTCATCAATTTCGACCTGCTAAGGCATCTTTCTCAGTCTCTATAATGAAGCAGCCAACAGATAGTGCTGCCAAGCTCTGCGGCTTCCCTGAAAAATGTTGGTCATTTCTAAATTTTCCTACTGTGACATTGGTTTTCTATTACTGCTCCAGAGCAGGATTGAGCGATAAATGATACTTGGATTGACTACCAACAAAATACCAACGTTCAACCAGCCTAATGATTGTTCAAACACAAGTGAGATGCTTTTTTAATTTGGTGCTACATAGCTGCAGATCCTAGGTCATGAATATAAGTGAAAAGGTTTTGTTTATAGTTTGTGTTACCTGCATAATTGATTCAACCATTGCACTCTGATTTGAAAAGAATATGGATTTACTTTTCGCAGATACAGTAAACTGACATTTTAATTTTTTTATTTCAGAGTTGTTAAAATCCGAGACAGAAGTGGCAGTGGAAGCAGAGATCAGAGTTATTCACGGTCACACTCTAGGTCCAATTCGCCCAAGCGTCGGTAAGGATGGTTTAACCAAGAAGTTTGCATTACCATATGTACTACTTGTAGATTGTCTACCCGAGCAATAAACCTGTGGCTTGTTCAGGTTCTTTAGCCGGTAGCGCTTATTTCACTTTAGATTTGCACTTATGTAGTGGATAATACAGAAACTTGGATCTATTCAAAATATAAGTGGCGTTCCCTGTTCTTGGTCACTTTTGATTTAATTAGTCTACTGCATTGTGAAGAATATTTAGCAGCATTTTAAACTTGCTATCTGATAGTATATTTTAAATGTAGCTTTATAGTTTTAAGGAAGCATTTGATCGAAGTGTTACATCAATGTTCACTAAAGTCAGAATTGCTGGGAATTCAAAGTAAATTTCAATCTTAAGACACAAATGGCCAAACTGAACACAATTGACTTTGCAAATGTTTCTAATTTGATTCCTTTGGCCTAACTTTTGAAATTCACTTTGCATTCCTGTCCGTTCTCACTCTGAATAACAGTTTGATATCTGAAAGATGTATGTTTTCTGTTTGTTTTGGAAATATGTATATATTTATTTTTTTCCGCACTTATAGAAAAAGTGAAAGTTATTCCTCATCCAGTGGTTCAAAGTCTCGCAGTCGCTCCAGGAGTCGCAGTGATTCTCCTCCTCGAAAAGCAAATCACGGATCTTATAAAAGCTCAAAAGCTCATATATACAGCAAAAGCGATGAGCACAAATACTCTGGACACAAGCGTAGACGATCACGCAGCAGGAGCTCATCACCTGCCCACAGTCATTCAAGGGAAAGCCCACATTCTAGAAAATACAGAAAAAAAAGCCAATACTACCGTGAGCAGAGAAGAGAGCGCTCTCGTTCTTATGAAAGAGTCAGCCATCGAAGTTATGAACGTGATTACTCCAGTCACAGCCATCACAGAAGATGAAATTGCCATCTAAATTACCTCTGGCGTTTTAAGGTGGTTAGAGACAAGTCATTCTGGACGCTTCCTTTTAGTTAACATTTAAGTTGCCACTAAGCAGGTTTCTGCATTCAGTTCACACAGGCGAGCAATCTGTTAATACCTGCCTTTTAAACATGTATTCCTAAGGTTATTTAAATTTTGAATAGCCGTGCCTAACCTTTTGCTTCTCTCCTGTGTTATTCCCCCACACTGAGAACGGGACTGTAAATGGCAGGCTCTCTCCTTTCTCCTGTATGCTTAAAGCAGCTTTTGTAGATCAGAATTTGTGACTGCCATCAGGAAGAGGGGAGGAAGTGAGGGCTCTGAGCATATACTTCAGGGATACTGTACGTAGTATGGGCACTATGCAGCTTGTGTCAAACTTCATGGTGAAAAGTGTGAAAAGCTGTTCCTTTAGAATTCCTCCTCACACAATTAGGTGGCTGCTTAACTGCAACAACCTAATTCCACATACTACAGAGCTATTCATCAGCATGTAAAAGTGAAATGTCCAGGAAAACATTGCGGATCTGTCACCTCTAGGCATGTATGACCTCATACTGATCAAACAGACTCAAGAAACTGTGCCAAATGTCATTGGCCAATATTGTATTTAGAAACGGACTTGTCTACAGAAAACCTATTATGTTGTTTGGTGCTATATCTAAAACAATATGTGCTAACTACATTGTCATGGCTTGTGTTGGCTGCTAAATCCCTATTTACAAAATCATTACTTATGAATTTTACTGTAGGATAATCCTGTATCATACTGTACAGACCACAAGTTCCTATATTTGTAACACCCACATATTCTTATTAGCAGAAATGCTAGCATTTGTAAAAAGCTTTGAAGGAATTTATGTTGGCTATAAGAGGTTGGTTGGTTTTACATACCGCTGACTCCTCTAATACATGAGTTATGTTTGGTTTTTTTGTGTGTGTTTTTGTTTCTCTATGTATGCCTATATTAGGTCATACATACGACTTTGTTTTTGTGTTTTGTTTTTTTTAGTTTTGTTTTTTTTTTTAGTTCCATCTGTGGGAACTGGCCTTAGACTTGAGAATACTTTTTGTACATATCTACTTACTTTTCAAGGACTCATGTTACTATGATCTGTTCTTCAAAGTGGACTTTTTTTATACTCTGATGCTGCGTGCTGCTCTGTGCTGGCCACAAGCAGTCACAAGACATTTCATGTTGCATATGGTTCCATGTCTTTATTTAAAAAAAACAAAAATAAAAAATGCAATTCTACTCAGGATATTTGATAGATCAACAAAAAAGGTTTGTTTTCTTATGTAACAGATGTATTGAAACCAATCACAGCCAGGCCATATCAGTTTTATTGGTATATCCAAGCTGTATTTCTTTATTTCATTAAAGTATTCAATTTTGTATATAAAACACCGGCATCTGTCTTTCTCTGTACTCACTCATAACCATTTTGCATCATTGAAAATGTTAGGCTATGGAAAGTAACATGCAACCACGCTCCCTGCTTTTCGAGTCTTCAAATAAGTTTTTGCTTTCTCTTTGCTGTTTGTCTTGTCCAACTACGGGATGTGAAATGTACATATTGGTAAAGTGTAGAGACCTATGTTTTTGTAGCCAATGCATTATCAGAACACCTTATGGTGGAGGGGTATGCATTTATCTACCAATCCGCAAGACATATGCAGGAACCATTTTATTTTCCCGTTTACTGCGTGATGTGATATGCATTTAAGATAGGTAGCATTTTGTCTGTTACTCTCTTTAATATAATTACATATGGTAGAGAAACCTTGGGACTCTTTCTGGGTTTAGCTTTAACCTTTCTGTCTTAAAGGGACTCCAGAAATTACCCCTCCCCGTCATGATTCCAGTGCCAATGTCCGTCAGCACTGGGTCAGGAACCTCCTCAGACGTCAGCCAGCGGGGGCCTAATGTGCATGTGCGGCAACTTCTCAATCACATTAGGACTACTCCATAGGAAAGCATTGATTCAGTGCTTTCCTATTGGTATTTTAGCTGCTGCTGTATGTCATCATGCAGAGTGTGAGGACGTCCAGCCTCATTTAGCGGACCAAAAGTGCCTCTAGTAGCACTGGTAGACAAGAGCCACGCGCGCATTCAATCAGTCCGTAGGAAAGCATTTCTCAATGCTTTCCTTTGGACGTCAGTGTCTTCTCACTGCAGAAGCTCCTCTAGCGGCGGTCAATGAGAGCCACTAGAGGCTGGAATAACCCTATTGTTAACATAGCAGTTTCTCTGAAACTGCTATGTTTACAGCTGCAGGGTTAACCCTAAATGGACTTGGCACCCAGAACTCTTCATTGAGCTGAAGTGGTCTGGGTGCCTATAGTGGTTCTTTAAGTTCCGGAGGGATCGATTGGTTCAGGTGTAGGTTAACAGAACTATGATTTTCTTATCTTAGTTGAAAAAGATTTATGCACAAGTATAGTTTGCATTTAAAAATGCAACTTGCTGTTGTAGGTTAGCCTAGTGCTTTTAGGATGTCGAGAATAAGGAAGGGTTAATTCCACACTATGAATGTAGCTATGGGATGTCAAAATGGTTTCTAAATTAAACTAGGCAACATAATTATAGAGGGTTAGTGATGGAACAGTCACATGAAAAAAATTTTAATTGTGTGATGTGGCTTTCTTTTGACATTCCCCAACTGAGCTCTGATCTGCAGAAAACTTGAGACTACACTGTGAAAACAGGTTTCTTTTCAAATGGCAAGGCTTAACATTTCAAGTCCTATGCTACGAATCAGGCCTTAAGTTACTTTCGACTGCAAGCCTGGAGGGCAAACATATTAATAGAGGTGAATATCTAATTTCAAACTTCAGCTTAGTTGCCTAGAATAGGTCTCCTTAAACTTGGAGAAGAGGCAAGACATTCTCTCTAACAATTAGATAATAGTCTAGGTTTAAAAAAAAAAAAAAGACTTAAGTCCTTAAGTTCAACCTTGAAACCCATTCTCTCTTTTATGCTAATAATCTTCACAAAAACAAATAAATGAGGAAAAACTATTCTTACTGGAACTTTCTTTTCTTGGCTATTATTCATGGTAGCATTTAACATGTGTTAATTCCTCCCTCCCCGCTTATAGGACATGAAATTAAAAAACCATTAAGGCAGGGTATATGTGGGGCCTAAGCATAATCTAATTCTCTGTCTAGTCACAAGTTCGAAGGCTGCCAGAAAAGAAAGTTATCGTAAGAATACCTCCTACTTATTCCTGGACCAATAAGTTTTGCAAATGCTCTCTCCTGGAGCACAAGCCTCTGCTGCCCATAAAGAGGAATGTGTCTGTCTCCCTCCAAGTCAATGGTGCTACCATCCGCTCCACCACGCAGGCTCGCTGCCTAGGTGTTTTCTTTGACTCTGACCTCTCCTTCACACCTCATGTTCAGTCTGTCGCCAAATCCTGCCGCTTCCATCTCAAACATTGCGCGCATCTGACCCTCCATTACACCAGATGTGACTAAGGTGCTGGTCCATTCCACTGTCCTTTCTCGCCTTGACTACTGTAATCTGCTTCTCAGTGGTCTTACGTGCTTCTAACTTGCACTGTTAGTCCATAATGAATGCAGTGGTGAGGCTTATCTTCCTGTCCGCCTGCACCTCCCACACCTCACCCTTCTGTCAGTCCCTACATTGGCTTCCTGTAAGATAAAGGGCTCAATTTAAAATTCTGGTTCTTGCTTTCAAATCTCTACATAATACTGCTCCTACCTATCTATCCTCCCTAATACACAAGTATGCCCCATCTAGGCCCTTGCGCTCTGCTGAAGACTTGCGTCTATCTTCTGTCCGTATTCCCACCTCTGATGCTCGCCTTCAAGACTTCTTGAGGGCTGCACCATTCTTGTGGAGCTCACTTCCCTCCTCCGTTAGATGCTCAATCAGTCTCCACTCCTTCAAAAAAATCATTAAAAACCCACTTTATAAAAGCATATCAATTAAACTGTTAATAGCTCCCAACTGATTCCTCTCTTGCAACTGTCATTAGTCTAATACTATCCTTACCTTTTGTGTCACTTTACCCCACTCCCTCTAGCATGTAAGCTCATTGAGCAGGGCTCTTAACCCCTCTGTTCCTTAGTGTCCAACTTGTCTGGTTACAACTACATGCTTGTTCGTCCACTCGCTGTAAAGCGCTTCAGAACTTGGCATTATAAAAATATTAACATACTAATAATAAGCCTTAAAGGACCACTCTAGGCACCCAGACCACTTCAGCTTAATGAAGTGGTCTGGGTGCCTGGTCCAGCTTGGGTTAACTTTTTTTTTTTTTTATAAACATAGCAGTCTTTCAGAGAAACTGCTATGTTTATAAATAGGTTAATCCAGCCTAGCAGCCTCTAGTGGCTGTCTCATTGACAGCTGCTAGAGGCGTTTGCGTGCTTCTCACTGTGAAAATCAGTGAGAAGACGCCAGCGTCCATAGGAAAGCATTATGAATGCTTTCCTTTGAGACTGGCTGAATGCGCGCGTAGCTCCTGCCACGCATGCGCATTCAGCCGAAGAGGAGGAGGAGAGCTCCCCGCCCGGCACTGGAGAAAGGTGAGTGTTTAACCCCTTCCTCTCCCCAGAGCCCGGCGTGAGGGGGACCCTGAGGGTGGGGACACCCTCAGGGCACTATAGTGCCAGGAAAACGAGTGTTTTCCTGGCACTATAGTGGTCCTTTAATGCCCTAAGGTACAGGAAGTATTTGTGTCTTGTAGTGTGTGAGATAACGCTGACCGAAGCAGCTTCACCTTTATGTGAACCCAATGGAATTATGAACTGTCTAGATTTAACCAGGGAGCAGTGTAAATGTAGAGGCATCGAATGAGGTTCAATTTGTGACATTTTTCCTTTTCTTGCGAGGATGGATTTGAGAAGTATGTTAGGCCAATTTTATAATTTGGATGAAAGGAATTTACAACCTTAGAAAGGCATAGGCCAGCGAACCACCCCATCCATAGATGGATGCCTAAGTGTAGCCGACACGAGAGCCAGAAGTAGCAAGTTCTTCTGGGAAAAGCACTTTGAGAGAAACCTCTTCCAGAGGTTTAAATGGTGAACCTGAAAAAGAATGGAGGACCAGCGGCAAACCCAAGAAACCAAGAAAGCCCAGAGAGGAGGCCTAATCTTCATTACAGCCTTGAAATATACTTTTGCTGGTCTGATGGCCAAAATGGCTGAACATTGCTCTTTGAGGGAGCTTAAACGGAGTTCACGATCCAAGCCAGATCGTGGAATCCCAGAACTTAAAAACGTGAAGGAGATTGGTCAGAAGGCAGGTCAGATCCCAGAAATTTGGTAAAGGTGTCCCAAATTCTGTGATAGGTAGTAGTAGAAGTGGAAGCTTTACAGGAACAGAATAATGTAGAAATACCCTGATCAGACAACCCCTGGAATTTCAGTGACTGTCTTTCAACACGTTACAAGTATGCTGGCCGTGTTCAAAATTGAGCCCACCAACGCTGATGGAAAGTGAGCTTAAAAAGAAAAGAAAAATCTTGTTATTAAATAACAGAAAACTGTCTAGAGCTGGGCAACAGAAAAAATATATATATATATATATATATATATATATATATATATTTGTGTAAGGGGCAAAATAGCCGTATATGGAGTAAGGATCCAGCATAAGCTTAGGATAGTGTAAAAGGAGCAAGTCGGTTGTGGTGTGCCGATACCGACGATACGGTAGGCCTGTAAATAAAGAGGGCCCACCAAGGAGTAAGAAAGTAAAGTAAATGGAAAGAAAAGAGAAAGTGTTGAAATGAGGAGTGGGTGGGAGGGTCATTCTGATGCTGACCTCAAGCGATATGAGTCAGGTAAGGGGTGTCCCTTATATAGGGGAGTGAATTAATTTAAGCCCCTCCCACAAATACAGGCAAAACTGCCTTAATACTTGTGTAAGGGGCAAAATAGCCGTATATGGAGTAAGGATCCAGCATAAGCTTAGGATAGTGTAAAGGGAGCAAGTCGGTTGTGGTGTGCCGATACCGACGATACGGTAGGCCTGTAAATAAAGAGGGCAAAATGAATAATCAAAGATTTAATACAGTCAACAAATATATACAAATTAACCAGACATTTCCTTAAATGCATTACAGTATTTAATTCCTGAAAGGATTTTGAAGGTAGGAATCTAGGACCGAAAGTGGGCACCATTTGTTGTGGGTAGGATAGTATGTTATCTCTACTGTTGGTGCATGTTGACTCATTTCGGAATGTGGTAGAGCCAATAGGTAATGATATATGTGTTTACGTACGTGGGATCGTTGAAGACAATGATCTGTCTGAGTGGTGGTGATGGTAGTGGATTCTCTGGCCTGAGAAAGGCATAAAAGGCAATGTGCATGGCTGGTAATGGCCGACTTGGTAGTATAATTGAATGGTTGTAGATCTAATAGGTCC